CAGAAAACAGAACACTTACATAGAGGAAAGGGTCCTCCTTGAGCACTCCATATGCAGAGAAAGAGAGACTCATCAAAACGTCGCGAGAGAAAGATTAAATGGCATGAACTCGACACTCCTTGTTTTGATCACCAATTTCTGAAAAAGGGTACACGCGAAACCATACGTGTGAGGATAAATTGCGCTGTCCAAAACCTGTGAGCGAAAAATTTAACACGCAAACTTACTATGATAAACAGCGGCGAAGCAAACATTGAGATGAGCGAAGCAACACTCAGGTATCCGACGAACGTTTGCCTCTCATCGTAGTCTAAAAGTCCCAAGGTCACAAAGACAACGAACGCAAACACAACAATAACTGCCGCTATCAATCCCATCATCCTCAGCTGCAAAAAGAAATTTCAAGAACGCAGTCATGCAGTGTTTTAATAGGCATTGGCTGTCTACATGAGCAGGTAGATTTGGGGAAGAATATCACCTTGATCGCTCTTTCGGCGTGCCTAATGAAAATGCTTAAGTAGACAAACTGGAAAACCGCCCCGATTGAATTGACTGTAGCCACCAGTATAATCCCAGTTTTCACAGCAGGCATGCCATACCAGGAGCATATCAAGCAGTTCAAAAGTGCATATATGTAAGGCAATCCAGAAAATTGTTCTGTTGACTTAGTTTTGACAATTCTCTTAAATGTTGGTCTGGAAAACAAAACATGGCTATATGATCAGAATCAAGAGCAAAATATCATTAATCTCCATTTTTTCGTGAACTTTTTAAATAACTTACATTGGTGACACAAATAACACAAAGGCAAAGATATTCCCTGCAATTGACAAAGATATGTGTTAAAACTGGCAATCTGAGAGTCTTTTTATAGATTCCAAAACTGCATAGACATATATTTCCAACTGATTCTTATGCATCTTTTTGACAAGGCGGTATTCTAAATTAACTCTATCTACAGAGAAGGGGATTCAAACACGGGTAAAAGGGGTGAGCATATTGCCCTGGTTAGCCTAACCTCACATGCATCTTGAACAACATATGCTTTTCTTCATAAATCAACATTCCAAAAACCTCCAATCACCACAACAATATCTTATAAAGTCACTCAACAGAATTCATGGTTTTGTTCCTTAAAAAAAAACATAAAACTATGAACTTACCCTTGCACCCGAGGTCCGAAGTTCAATTCCCCCGCTTTTGATAAAAAAATGGAAGAAGCGTAATGAAGCAGATATGGTGCTAAGATAAAGAAGGGTACCTGCAATGCCGGCTGCAGTACTCCAACCTAAATAAACAGAAAACAGTCCAGTCGGCAACATCGATCTATGTCAATTATCAAAACAACTGCTCAACAAATGTATGTATTCAACTTTACTCACTGCTACTCCACACCAAACAGAAGCTCTCTCTCCCTCTCTCTTGTAACTTTGTATATTAATGGTCCAAACGAGAAGGATTTTTCTTAATATATATACTTGTTACAGAGGACCTCAGATAATTTACACCATCTATTATTTACTACCAACTTTTTGAGACTTCTTTAACTTGCCACAGAAAGTTTTTGTTAAACCAATGATATTAGATTATTTAAACTATGGTATTATGATGGGAAATTGGGAACCGTGAGTACTCCAAGTTAGCCAAATGCAACTATAATCCATACATTTATATATTGAACATACGATGAGTTATGCACAATGATTTTATGACGGTTTTAACCACACAATAGGGCTATATCATTCAAGTTTAAACGTTGAACCCTTACATCATCGTAATAAAACTGAATAGATATGTGACACAGGCTGCCCAGGAAAATGCGAGACCGCATACGATTTTGTGGCTTAGATAGACTTCAAGTGGGTTCATCCCTCACTTTCACTCATCAATTGGTTGAGATTTTTATAGATTTTGGGCCATGCAAATTATTTGGAACCTGTTAGTCACTTATATATACGTTGTATATTGGTTATTATCACGTGATAAATATATATATATATATATATATATTTTTTTTTTTATTCACATCTCATCTTAGAATACGCAGAAGGTTATTTAGGATCGTGCTATCCACAAATTCGTTTTTACTTTTCACACATTCTCAATTTTCAGTCGTCCGGTCGAATAAATTGAATGAAGTTCAAATGATAGAAATTGACAAGAAGTATGTGGAAAATACAAATGAATGTATGGATAACACCATCCGGTTTTTTATTGTCAATTTTGCTTTTTTGGGTTAATTTGATTGGGACAACGAACAATACAATGGATGTCTGGATCAAACTTTATTTTGATAATTTTATACACAACTCAAATCATATTAAGTGTTCACACATGAAAAATATGTATATGAAAACAAAAATGGACCTGTCAAGACCTCTTCGTCCTCATGTTACTTAGTACCTCAATTTACTTGAGAGAAAAAGAGTGAGCTAGCTGTACTTTTGTTACTAATTACAAGTAACAATGGTCCCAAAACCTCATGTTAAAGAAATATGCTTTGCAATTTATTGTGAAATTGGCCCTCATTTAAGGTGTTGCGATATTGACCGTTAGGATATGAGATTCATACTTTTAACACGTTCTTATGTTTGATGAATTTTTAATTTACAATGATCATAAACCAATTGACAATATAAGAAATAACTATTTATAAGTACATGCAAGGTCATTTCTTTTCCCAATATGAGATTCATACTCTAAACAGAAAGGACATTGACCAAACCACTACATATGAAACTTGTGTTCTTGTCTGTGCTTGATTTTGCTTGGTGTTTTGGTATTTTCATTGTGGTTGGTTTGATTATTTGCTCATCAACATTGATAAATCCATAAAGGCATTGTACATACATACATATATACATATATATATACATATATATATATATATATATAGATCCAAGGAAGCATAATCTCTATAATTAAAAGTAGGGATATTTTGGATGCGGTCCCTAATTCTTAACATTCTTTGATTAAAACCTTAATGGTATTCAAAGTTTGATCAAAGTCCCTTGACTTTGTACACCTCATTATATTACTATTAATATTTATATTTTTATAGTTTTGACATTAATTGTTTGATATTTTATGAGATTTATAATCCTATAAATTTAAAATCCCTCATTATAATACTATTAGAAAAGGTTACAATAAAAGAATTCAAACATTTTGATTGAATAAATGGATAAAAACTATGTAAAAATAAGAAATAATAAATGGCAAAAGAATGTATCCATAGTGTTAAAAAAATTGGTACATTTCACATATGTACATTAATAAAGAAGAATGGGTACATTACAAATAAATTAGGGTACATATAAAAGATTAAAAAATTATGAGTACAAATGAATTTTTAAAAAAATATAGGCCCTAAAAGAAATTAATACATGGGTACAAAATAAAACTAAAAAGAAAATACTGCAAATTTTTAAAAAAATGTTGCAAATTAAAAGTGGGTACAAACTAAAAATATAAATATATGATACAAAAGTTTAGGCATAAAACATAAATATACCATATGTAATTTTTCTATCATTGATTACTTTAAAAAATATGGGCACAAACTAATATATGGGTACAAATTAAAAATGAAAAGAAAATTGGTACAAATTAAAAAATATTTGCAAATTAAAAATAGGTACAAACTAAAATTAAAGATACATGATAAAAAATTTAGCCATAAATATAAATATACTAATTGTAACATTTTTAACACTAAAGGAATATATTTAAAAATAAAATATTTTATTATTCAAATAATTAATGATGTTATTAATACCCAAGGACCTTGATAAAAAATTAAAAATGAATAAGATTTTAATCAATGAAGTAACAAAAAGAAAGATGTGAACTTAATTTCTCCTTAAAAGTATAGTTGTTATTGTCGTTCAAAAAAGTGATCATGTATTTCTTCATTTTATAAGTATAAGAAATATTATTGGAGATGCTTTAAATGTATCTTAAGTACACTTTAAGAGAATATTATTTGTAAACTTGTCTTGGATTCTAAGCCGTTTAGATTTTTCTATAAACTCTTTTTTCTTTTCTTCCTCATATTTGTTCGCTTCTCACATTACGTGCTTTTTAAATATATAACAAAAGAAAATGATTGAAAAAAATATATTTTGTATTTGATGTCTTGTCTTCGATTTGTTTATTTATGTGCTTTTTTTTTTCTTCCCTTTCTCGTGAAGAATCGGGTTGCCTTGCTTATAATTTAAAACATGATTACTTAAAATATTATAATGCGTATTTATATATTCATCTACTTTTCAGGTCATTGTGTGCATCAACTATTGAGTGATTAGGAATTGGAATCAACCGAATTAAGAATGGCATGGAAGAAGCACGCGGAAATGTATATATTCATTGAAACAAGACGGTCAAAACATTTGCCAGTTGCAGATGCAAACGAATATATGCCAAACCACAAAACGTTACGAGCCATCCGCCATGATCAGTGATGAGTTCACATGACCATTCTAAATTCATACTGGTGCATGTTTCCTCGAAAAAACTTCAAAATAGTCGTTATGCATTTATTTAAACAGTTGACTTAATAAATTCCTAAATTCTATTTGGGAGCTCATTTACGGAACCGGTTGGAGATTCTCTTACCTATCGTACCAGTGTTACACAAGATTTACTTTCCTAATTTTGGCAACTTGGTCGAATGCGATATATGTGTACACATATTTATAGAGAAGGAAACCAGGTTGCAGATGCTTTAACTTCATTTAGGGCAAATAATTATGCTTATTATTGGTGGTCTATAATTTTAAATTTCGTAACCTCTGCTCATGCTCGTGACATTTCGTTGGCAATTTTTGTACTTGCGGATCTTGGCATAGTCCACCGCCTGCATGTTTTTCGTTTACTTTCATTTTTATCAATAAATTTAGTGTACGAGGGACGTGGTGGGGGCTTCCTGGGTGTAATGGTCTTCACCCCTTCAAGGGAGGATAGGTGTCTCGCATACAACCATTGCTGAAGAGCTAATCTCACCTAATCTTTCTCCATTTGAAAAATATATATATCTCTGTACATGATGCCTGCTATTGTCTATTAAGCAGCAGGAAAACCCTCATTTTCCAGTTAGGCTCTAAGGAAATGTCACTTTGAAAAGAAAAAAAAGGCAGTAACTTTGGTAAATATTTAAGTAACATATTACACACCAAGAATTAAAAGGATTTGCATCCTTTGAGAATACTCTTCTGTCAATGTAACAATTTATATCCAACGGCGTATAGTTTGAAGAAATTGATGAATTTCTCCAAGTAAATTTTGTACTGAAGGTCAAGCATTTCTCCAAAGGAAATTCGGTCACGGATGTGTAGCTAGCAATGGTTCTTCTTCTTCTTCTACCGCGTCTTCTTCAGATGGATTTTTGTAGCGGCAGTACAGAACCAACTGTACAAGGGCTAACATTGTTCCAATACCATTTGGCATCTGCATCCAAAATATTAAAAAATAAACGTAATGGTTATGTAATGCAAGTGTGATGGGGTTGATCGGTGCTTGATGTGAATGAGATTCAACTACGTTTTAGGATGCAATTTAGACCAATAAATGAGACTGACAAATAGGTGCTACGATGGTTGAGAGTATATAGCTGCTGAAATTTTGGACTGAAGGAAACATAGTACTTACATATAGAAAAGGGTCCATCTTGAACACTCCATAGGCAGTGAAGGAGAAACTCACTAAGAAAGTTGCAAAAGAAAGATTAAATGGCATGAACTCAACGCTTTTTGTTTTGATCACCAAATTCTGAAAAAAGGGTATGTATGAAACCACATGAGTGAGGACAAATTCAACCGTCTAATAGCAATCTGACTAAGGATCATCCGGCACAAACTTACTATGACAATCAATGGCGAACCATACATGAAAATAAGTGAAGCAATACTCAAGTATCCAACAAATAATTGCCTCCCATTGTAGTCGAAAAGACTTAAGCTGACAACGACAATGGACACAAATAGAACGAAAACTGCGATTAACAATGCCAACATCTTCATCTGCAATAAACATTTTAAAGAACAACACATAGTCAGTAATGCAAAGTTAAAAGGTATTTTAATAAGAAAAATGCAGGTGCCATTACCTTAAGCGCTCTTTCGGCGTAAGAAATGAAAATGCACAAGTAGACTAACTGGAAAACAGTCCCAACTGAATTGACTGTAGCCACCAGTATAATGCCATTCTTCACTATAGGCATTCCATACCAGCAACATATCAAGCAATTCAAAAGTCCATATATGTAAGGCATTCCAGAAAATTGTTCTGTTGACCTGTTTCTGATAATTCTATTGAATGTTGACCTGGAATTAGAACATCAAAGATTAACAATCAGTGGGAAAGTACAAAATCTTGAATATAATTCCATGCGCAAAGCAAAAAATTTCATAAATCTCCATTTTTGGCAAAATTTTGTTGAGCAACTTACAGTGGTGACAGATACAACCCAAAGGCAAAGATATTCCCTGCAGTTGACAGAGATGGGTGTTAGAATGTTTCTTGCACAACTACCATCTTGTTTGTGAATTGGCAGAATTTTTCAGGTTGCAGTAATCCATATTGATTTGTTAAGCCAACTTGTTATCTGATTCTGATGATGAAATTGAGATAAAAAGTTGATACTCTCTTAACTGCATAGGATTCAGATCAAAATCCGATACATTGACACGTCTACATATAAGGCATCTGAAACAACATATAAATATATCCTGCAATCTGAGACATTTCTGTTTTGCAAGATCTATGAATTTTCTATTCAGATTCCAAAATTACTAAGCAAAACCATACAGCATATGAATTCTTCACCTTAAACTAAGATTCAATCAGGGCAAAGTTATCGATCCACAACAATATGTATAAAGTCATTCAAAAGAATTCATAGCTGCACTTCAGGACAAGCAGAAATCTGCATCTAACTAAAGCATATAATGGAAGAAGCGTAAAGAAAGAGATTATATGGTGCAGAAATGAGGAAGGTTACCGAGAACGCCGGCTCCATCGCAGAAACTTTGATAAACAGAAGACAGTTCAGTTGACAACATTGATCTATCAATTACCAGAACCCTGCTTATAAGAAAATATGTATGTATATATTCAAAACACCAAGCAAGCAGAAGCTCCCTCTCTTCTCTCTGTGTCTATTTTGTAGCCTTGTACATTAGGGTCCGTATGGGAGGCTTCTCTTAATATACTTGCTCAAAAGATATGGAACCATGTGTTATTCATTACTACCAAACTACCAAATCTTTTGGAGATTTTTTATTGTGTTTATATAAACTTCCTTGTAAACAAGGCTAGTCATCTAAACACAATACTTCCTCCAAATTCAATAAAAACTTTTACGAAAAAAATTAATTGATGAAACAATTTTCGATTTGATTTTTTGCAACCGTGATCTTTAAATAATTTCTTAAAAATTGTCTGATTCGTATCATAAAATAATGTTGAGGGGAAAACTTAGACGAGTAATTAGTGTTGTAGTAAGGACTTTACAACCATCAAATTATGTAAAATAATTCAAAATTTGCAGCCATTGGTCCTTTCACTACTCTTTAATAGAACTTTCATCAGGTTTAACAGGTGTTATATGGTCTGAATCTGTGACCTATCAAATTGAGTATTTGATAGAAGAGATCAAATCTTTTGTATCTACTTTGTTTATAGGGTCTCTGCGATTAATTGAGACATGTTAGTTTATGACTATAAAGTCAAAAAAGAGTTAAATTTTTAACACGTGTCAATCAATAACAGATGCTACACATAAAATAAGTGCAAAAGATTTGAATTCTCGATAAATGATTGGGGTGTGCAGAGTGCTCTTTTTGTGGTCAGGTAAATTGAGTAGGACGACAATCAATCATCACATGGGGTCTTGATCAAATCTGATCGTCCAATATTACTATATCATATATACCCAACAAAAAAGGAGCTCTCAAAAACCTCCTTGGTCCTCTCTAAGTTGGTCAATAAAGATAGAGAAATGCTGAGGGAAGTTCTCTTAAATAGAATTTTGGGGTGTGATATCCACACATCCCATTTTACTTCTCACACACCTTTTTTAATTTTCTGCTGTCGGATCGGATGAATTGAAGAAGATCAACGGACATAAATTATCAAGGGGTGTGCAAGAAGTAAAATGGGGTGTGTGGATAGCACACCCCTAGAATCTTTTATATATTATGTTACTTTGCAATTTTCTTGTTAATATTATAAAAATTGTGCAAAAAACACTAGATGACAGATAGTTATAGAAAGTTTTACTTTGTTTATATGGTCTCTGCGATTAATTGACACATATTATTTTACGACTATAAAGTTAAAAAAGAGTTAAATTTATTAACATATGTCAATCGGTAAGAGATGCTACACACAAAATAAATGCAAAAGATTTGAACTCTGGATAAATGGTTGGGGTGTGCAGAGTGCTCTTTTTGTGGTCGGGTAAATTGAGTAGGACGACAATCAATCATCACATGGGGTCTTGATCAAATCTTATCATCCAATATTACTATATCATATATACCCAACAAAAATGGAGCTCTCAAAAACCTCCTTGGTCCTCTCTAAACAAAAATGGAGCTCTCAAAAACCTCCTTGGTCCTCTCTAAGTTGGTCAATAAAGATAGAGAAATGAAGATAGATAAATGCTAAGGGAAACTCTCTTAAATATAATCTTTTATAGATTATGTTACTTTGCAGTTTAACATTAATTTTCTTATTAATATTATAAAAATTATGCAAAAAACACTAAATGAGAGATAGTTATAGAAAATTTTACTTTTAAAACAGTTTTCTTAATATTTCTCTAAACATATTTAACGTGTTACAGAAAGCCTGTGCTAGAAAGTGCCTGACTCATTTCATGGTACGTTGACATGATTCAAAATCATTTTAGGACCCATTTAACTTTAATAATTCAATAATTGCTTTTCTTTGCCGTCTCTAATAATTTGCAAAGAATGATACCGGACACTACTTTATTCTGCTCCTTTAATTAAAGTAAAATTATAAAATGAAAGAAAGTTTATGAACAGTCTCACTTAAGAACATGATGGAGAGTTCACTTCCACTTGAGAAAATCTTCTTAACATTTATTTATTTTTTTGTGCTTCTTTCCCTTTTTCTTGGGAGATTGTGTAGAATATTATTAAATTGTTTTCACTTGACCTAACAGTTTCTTGACCTGCTCTACTAAATCGGAAAGAGATCATTTCCGGATCTATCCTTCCAAAGTCCACCAATCAATTAATCTGGGTTCTTAAAATTTGATCTAACGACTAAAATTATTATAACTTTTAAAAAGTCTCAATGTTTTAGCCGTTGGATCAAATTTCAATGACCCGTATTAATTGTTTGGCATGATTTGGTGGAAGAGATCCCAAGAAGATATTTTTCTTACATGATCGGTGATAAGCTTCCAACTTCACTTCGATTTTTAATGTTTTATACATGCGTACGTACATGACCTAAGCAAATGAAGTTGGTAACTTATTACTGATGATGTATCACATTGAATACACATATAAAGTTTGCGTTTGAAAATTTTATATTGAGGTGAGTAATCGAACTCATAACCTCAAGTGCATAGTCAATTTTAATTGGCAAGTTGGGTTCGGAAATTTAATATTATAATATAATTTTAGTGTTCGAATGAAAACTAGGTTAAAATGTTCGCATTGCTTCAAAAGCTAACCTGACAACCTAAATAAATATTGCAAACCTCAATCACCAATTTTATTAACGTTTTCTTTCTTTCATCCTCTTCTTATTTACCTTGGTTTATAAACACTTGTTATAATTCATTATGTTTCATTATTATACCGTGGGTGAAAATTCTTTTAATAAGAAGTTATTAATATTTGTTGATAATTGTCCCATCAATCTGAGGAGTAAAGATAAGGGGTGTGTTATCCACACATCCCATTTTATTTCTTACACACCCTTTGATAATTTCTGTTCATTGATATTCTTCAATTCGTTCGATCCGACGATCGAAAATTAAAAAGGTGTGTGAGAAGTAAAATGAAATATGTGAATATCACATCCCTAAAGATAAAACCATTATGGAAAGTAGGAAACAATCCAAAAATATGAATGTGAACAATCTCGTACTAAGACTAGAAAGTACAAGGCACAATCAACTCCCACCTTCTCCCTCCAAGAACGGGTCATCCATAGTACCACCCGGATTGTGTTTTAGTATATAAAGATATTATTGGAAGAAACATCATATCATGCAAAAAGGAGCAAAGCCTGACTATTTTTTCAATGTGACACTACTACAATATTAACTTCAGGCGTCGAACGATCCTGACGGTTATTAAGTTATTCTGACGGATAAAAGATTTTCGACATATAATTTATTTACTGTCGGATTAAAGTTACTTTTTGTTGGATATATACAACATAAATTTCTGGCTGATTTTTCCTAGCGGATTTAACCGCCATAAAATTATTATAACCCTCAGTATTTTTGAATTCTTTTTTTTTTATAATATTTTTACATATTCGGGCGGTTTCTAAGTTAATTGTGGTGGTTATAACCGACATAAATTGACTATTTTATTATTTTAGATTCTGGCGGTTATTATTTTAGTATTCTGCTGGTTATAACCGATAGAAATTGACTATTTTATTATTTTAAAATGTTACATTGATTAAAAATAAATAAACAAATGGTGTAAATATTTTTTTTCACTCACGGTCCCATTACCTAATATCTGAATGTTTTTTTTTTTGCGATTTTTTACACATGCTATCTCGGAGTATATACAAACATATTTGACGGTTGAATCGTTGAAACTAGTTTCGTAGAATGCATACCTATCAAATTGATAGATTTAACAAACACTTAAAGAGTTAATGTTATACTTCCATTAAGTATAAAAAATTATCCACTAGTGTAAATATTTTAAATTGAAGATCGAATTTGTTCAATGCATTCTTATAGGGTCGAGGAGTGTAGCTGTAAAAAATCATCAAAATCGAAGCTAAAATAACCGTTAAATTGTGATTTTTTGTTTATAACCATCGAAATTTTTTGTTTAGTTACCTAATCTCTGAATGTTTGTTTTTTATAATTTTTTACGTATGCAATCTCAGAGTGTGTAAAAATAAGTTTGACGGTTGGATCGTTGAAAAAAGTTTCATAAAATGCATATTGCATCAAAACTGTAGATTAAACAAACACTAGTTAATATTATACTTCTATTAAGTATAAAATAAGATTTTGTAGTATCCACTAGTGTAAATATTTTAAATTGAAGATCAAATTTATTCATTACATTCTTATAGGGTCAAGGAGTGTAGCTGTAAAAAATCATCAAAATCATAGCTAAAATAACCGTTAAATTGTGATTTTTCTTTTATAACCGTCGAAAACTTTTGTTCCGTTACCTAATCTCTGAATGTTTATTTTTTTACGATTTTTTACGTATAAAATCTTGGATTGTGTACAAATAAGTTTGACGGTTGGATTGTTGAAAAAAGTTTCGTATAATGCATATTGCGTCAAAACAGTAGATTAAACAAACACTTAGAGTTAATATTATGCTTCTATTAAGTATAAAATAAGATTTTGTGGTATCCACTAACGTAAATATTTTAAATTAAAGATCAAATTTATTCATTACATTCTTATAGGGTCGAGGAGTGTAGCTGTAAAAAATCATCAAAATTGGAGCTAAAATAACCGTTAAATTGTGATTTTTTGTTTATAATCGTTGAAAACTTTTGTTCCGTTACGTAATATTTGAATGTTTGTTTTTTACGATTTTTTACGTTTGCAATCTTGAAGTGTGTACAAATAAGTTTGACGGTTAGATCGTTGAAAAAAGTTTTGTAGAATGCATATTGCGTCAAAACGGTAGATTAAACAAACACTTAGAGTTAATATTATACTTCTATTAAGCATAAAATAAGATTTTGTGGTATCCACTAACGTAAATATTTTAAATTAAAGATCAAATTTATTCATTACATTCTTATAGGGTTGAGGAGTGTAGCTATAAAAAATCATCAAAATCGGAGCTAAAATAACCGTTAAATTGTGATTTATCGTTTATAACCGTTGAAAACTTTTGTTCCGTTATGTAATCTCTGAATGTTTGTTTTTTTACAATTTTTTACGTATGTAATCTCGGAGTGTGTACAAATAAGTTTGCCGGTTGGATCGTTGAAAAAAGTTTCATAGAATGGATATTGCGTCAAAACGGTAGATTAAACAAACACTTAGAGTTAATATTATACTTCTATTAAGTGTAAAATAAGATTTGTGGTATCCACTTGTGTAAATATTTTAAATT